CCTGGTATAGATTTGCTTCCTCAAAGGTGAGTCAGGTGAAGGGGAACTCAGGGGACCACACTCTATGAGTGTTTCATTTTCTCAGTCTGGATACATTTAACATGTAAGAAAACATTTTCTAAGGATCATCTCTGTGGATGCTTTTGTGAAACCGCTGGGATCTGATGGCAAATCAATGCTGCCAGAGGTCAAAGGAGTTCTGGTTTCAAAGGGAAAATGTTCAGTGTTGGTGCATTCACTGACTGATGTTCCCTCTCTTGTTACGTTTGATTGATTTTTATACAGTCCCCCATGTCACCCTTGACACATGCTTGTAATTACAGTGTGATCGCTTGCTATCTGTGTGGCAAATGTGTACTTCATTGCTGTTCCTTCTTTGCTGCTCCTTCCCTGAAGGCAGGTACCACTGCATGCTACAGTATCGTGTGACTTGGAGTACCTCAATAAAAGCCATTTGAAAGAATCTGTTTCCATAACATTAGAAAGAAACCGGTTAATTCTATTAGCTCTTTTGTCTACAGAATGTCAATTATTTGACTGTTTTTTTCTTGAAATTCCCAGCTGATAGATGCAGTGAAGACCCAATCTGAATGTGCAGGGACTAGTCTGTGTATGAGAATTGTCCTTGAATTAATTTTCTGGATGAAATTTTTATAAAATGACGTTCTTCCAGTGTGCAGAAACGTCTGTAAACATTACTTTCAATGGGCTGAATTGGGATGGGCTTAGGTGGTGCTTAGAAGCAATCACCCAAAAGGAACTCTGTGGAAACCACAAAATAATTTGCAAGGCTCATAGAAAAACAGTTGCTTCAGATGTGCCCTCGGCACTCACACACATTTACACTGCTTGGGGAGTTTTGCTTCTTCTGTGATGAAATCCATATGTCACTGTTTGCCTTTCTTTTTTGCATAGGCACTTTGTTCTCGAGATCTGTCCTGTCTTCCTTTGTCTATCTTGCTTTCCTCTGTAAATCACACATGTGCATGAACCCTCTGGATGGCACCTGGGGAAACAAACAGAAACCCACCCAGAAATAACATGGTAATGGTGGAGCAAGGGGAAGTCAGCTACAGAGCAGTGCCAGGGAGACCCACGGGAATTTCTCAATTTCTGCAAGCCTGCAATGCATATTCGGGGCTGAAATTCCTAATTTAGAAACAAACAGGAAATGTAACCCTGAGGTTCACACCTTCTTGTGAAAATCTTCTCACTCTGATATTTCCAACTTCAACATCACCGTGGGTGAGAGAGTGTGAATAAGATTTTACAATAATTGTGTCATCAACCACCTGGCTTTCATAACAATCTCTGGCGTTGGACTTTGTATAAGACCTTAGGCAATTTTTTTAACCTGGGAGGTATCTACTTGGAAGGCAATTAAAATAAGGTGTTAGTTGGAGTCACCTGGAAATGAATTCTGACTCACATTTTGATGGCAGTCATTGGAGTCCAGAAGTATTTTTGTAGAGTTTCTTCGTTGGATCTGTAGTGCTCATTGTGGGATTTGATACTAAGGAAGTAGTTCCGAATACACATGGATTAAATAGCAACTTCTTCTTTTAAAAAATTAGTGCTTATTATATGCTAAGCATCTGTTCTTGTCATCTTCATTTAGCTGCAAAGAAACTGAGGCTTAGAGAGATGAGGTAGCTGGTCCCAGGTCATGTTGCTATGAAGTTGCAGAACTGCCACTAGATCCTAAACTGGGCCTGATCCAAAGCTCTATCACTTAAGCCCTCTGCTAAACTACTTCCTGGAATATTACAGATAGTAGGATAGAGATTCTTTATTCTTAATTGGGTAGAGAAAAAGCCTCAAGGTCAGGCACTCCGTTAATGGGCATGGATCCCAGTTCTCTTGCTAAGGTGGAACCTGGTAAATTACCATGGTTGGTAACGGCAGTGATTCTGATGGGGTCTGAACAGTTCAGAGGAACGTTGTGGTTGAATGAACAATGTTCACAAATGCCAAGTGCCTATAAAATAATGGCTCCAACATGGATTATTATTATTTTAACCTGTGAAAATGTAGAAATGGAAACTTTCAATTCATTTCAAAATGGCACTCTCTGCCATTTTTCTTCCATTTCACTCTTCCACACATCATCTCTGCTCAATGTGGAAATTAATCTTTCCTGTTGTTTTGGACTCAGTTTACAAAGCTTTTTTTTTAATCTAACAAGAATAATGTTCTTTATATATGAACAGAATAATTTCTACTAGGACAATTCCCTTCTGAGTGTTTGTGGAGAGTACTCATGGTATAATTATGATTATGATTAAAGCTAGAATTTCCACTTATTTAGTATTTGACAATTGCTAAATTGTTTTACATGCATCTTTAATGAACTCAAATAATTCCATAAGTTTTATTTTTACTCACTTTAAAGATTAGCAATGTCATTCACTTTTTTCCAAGCAGTCAATGTCTGTTTCTGTTTAGTCACATGCTTATCCCCTATCTTTGGGTATAATGACACCTTCTCCATCTCTTTTGTAAGGAGCGGTATTTTTTCTGGCGACCATTCCCAAGGCACAGTATCTGTTGACCATGGGAAGTCTTTTAACTTCTCAGTTATCATCATCTGGTGATGTATGTGGGTGTCATCAGACTTTCTCTACTCTCTGTTCCTCCAGAATACCCCTCCCTCCATACTTCCTGTCCATGGAGACTGCCTATCCATGAACATTCACATGCAAAAGTATGTTCCCAAATAGGAGGCTTGAAAAGCCACAGGATACCATGGCACATTTTTAGAGAGCCAGTTTTGCTCCAAGTTTTGGCTAACAAAAGTAAAATAATTTTAATCTTTATTTTAAAAATTTATTTTTTCTAGTAAAATAGTTTATCAAGCAGAAAACAATATTAACATATATTTTTAAAATAAGACAATCTTGGAATAGGATGTGTTCCCAGACACCTAGGATGCACAAGTGCTTTGTGCCTCTAGCAGGTCCTTTGGTGGAAAACAGAATTTCTCAACTATGAACATAAATGTTTGCAGTGGCTGCATGGAGTTAATTTAGGGTAAAAGAATAAGGAGTGTCTCTGAGTCCTGCCTGATAGGAGCTGCCAGAGTCTCAGATGGTTTATTTGTTATGGTGAAAAATCAAACCAAGGTAATTCTATGGACATCTGCATTAGTTTGGAGGGTTTTCATAACAAAATACCACAGATGGTATCCTAAAGAACAGAAATTTATCTTCTCACAATTTTGGAAGCTGGACATCCAAGGTCAAGGTGTTGGTAGGTTTGATTTCTTCTGAAGCTTCTCCTTTCCCTGCAGAGGGTTGCTTTCTTACAGGGTCCTCATGTGGCCTTCTAAGCATGAATGCCTCATACATAGCTCTCTGTGTGTCCAAGTTTCCTTTTCTTGTAGGAATACCAGTCAGATTAGATTCAAACCCACTGCACTGGCCTCATTTTAACTTGAACACCTCTTTAAATGATCTATTTCTAAATGCAGTTGTATTCTGTAGTTCCAGGGATTAGGGCTTCAACCTGTGAATTTTGGAGAGCAATTTAGCTCCTAATAGCATTAAAGACAGCCCCACCAATGAGGTCGGTCACTTTTCACCTTGGCTTTGAAGGAATGCTGGGAGCTTGCTAGTCACCCAGCAGGATGAGCGTGGAGTGGGGTAGACAGGGAGCCATTCTAGACAGCAATAGCAGGGCGGGCACAAAGCACCATGTGTGGGGAGGAAGTTCAAAGGTGTGTTACTGGAGCCTGTTAGCAGGAAGGTGGAAGGTGGGAGGAGGTGAATCTGGAGCCAGGGCAGGGATGAAACAAGGCAGGGCACTGAGTGTCATGTTAGGAGTCAAGAGCACAACCAGTAGAGAGAGCATGTCCACATGTGAAAGACCTTGGTCAGATCTGCATTTTAGAAGATGACCCTGCACGCACTGTTGGGTCATGTATTGGTGAGAGCAAGGCTGGGGACAGGGACAATTGTCAGAGAATGACAGGAGCCAAGAAAGGGATGAGAGCCAGTAGATTTAACTGAAACGCCCTTTGGGTCTACCTCAGTTCTCTTCTGTGGTACATGATGCCCACTTCCTTCATTCACAAAGGATACTAGTCAGTATTTCTTGCAAACTTAAGTGTGTGCCAAGCAATGTTCTAATACGTTTGCATGAATTACCTCATTTATTTTTCTCAGTTATTATAACTCTATTTTATAGATTAAAAAATTGAGAAGCATTGAGATTACATGGGCTCTTGGAGATCAGAACTAATGAGGGTAGTGCCAGAATGCAAACTTAGATAGTTTTACCCTAAAGCCCTATTCCTAACTGCTACCTTACTTGTTTATATTGAACAATGGATAACCATCTTCCATATAACTTCTGAATCCATGAAAGCTTGTGGCAATCTTTCTTTCATATCTATAGGTAATGCAGCCTATTCCAGAAAAATCCTGAGGTTTTGTAGTAGATGCCAATAGATTGACTGAACATCAGTCTGATTCTTTCCCACTTACTTGATTTCCCTTACCATCAATGGTTGGGTACTAAATGGTCTCATCATGTTAAACTCTGGAGGTTAGAGGCAAAGAGGAGATGGTTTCCATTTTAAGCGACTCACTAGACTGTCAGGTGCATAGAAAGAGACCAGTTACCACTGTGGCAGAAATGAGACACAACTACAGAACTCTTGGTATTAGAAAGCTATATCCAGAGGAATGGTGTTAGGAATTTCCATCAAATGCTCCCAAAGAGAGCATTATGAGGAGATCACAGCAAAAGTGAGGGTATAATTCTTATAGACTTATTCTTGGGGAGTTATGGCTATTCTATGCAGATGAAGTACATGGAAATGTCTAAGGAATATATCCCCATGTCATAGGGGAGATAGGACTGAATTCATTCATTCATTGATGACCTACGATGTGCCAGGCAATGTACTAAGTGGTAGATGAGCTTCAGATGAACCATGCTTCAGTAATGCACTCTCACATCCCTCACCCTGCAGTGGTTTTGTATGAAAGCCAAGAACAGTGCATTCTACCACACTTTACAGAACAGAACTTTGTTCCCAAAGACAGAAAGTGACCAATAGCACAGTTTCCTGGATTCTTTAGAAATTGGAAATGCCTGAGGAAGATTGGGATGAGCTGGGATGCAACACTTTGGAAAGGTTTCATAGGCATGATCAGCTTCTGGGCCTCTGATGGGGAGGTGGGAGAAAGAGAGAAGATAAGTGGGGAGGCAGCAGGGAGGGCTGCTGGTTTCTCTTATACCTGGAAATTTGCTCCTTATTAGGCAGGGAGCTAGAGTTGTCACTTTGCAAAATACCTCCAATCTGCAGGTGCTCTGATTCAACATTTCAACATATACCTTTTTCAACAGAAACAGAGTTAATTGACCTCAATTTCCCCACTGTTCTGCCTTGATGGGAAGAGATGATTAGGAATAACTGAATCACACATCCCTAGAGAGGAGGAGGTACAGAGAAATGCTTGCCTCAGCCAAATATTCAGATGTCCACAAAGCAAAACATGCAGATATTTGGAAATATCTAACTAATCAGTGGACATGATCCAGTTTTAATTCTCATATAACAAATACCTTTTGTGCAGACCACATTCTGTTTGTATTTATGTCAGGAAGACTTGGCCAGAGCTCTGTGTGTGTGTGTATCTGTGTGTGTACATACATGACAGTGTATATTTTTGTGAGTATGGCAGTATGCATGTGGATGTATCTGTGTACACGAGGAAGTGTGAATGAATGTATGAATGTATGAATGTGAACTTACATGTGAAAGTGTATGTGTTTATGTGGGTGTGGGAGTTTATGTGTTTGTATTACTATATGTAAGTGTAGGAAGATACATGAGTGTGTAATTAAGAAAGTAGGTGTGTGTGACAGTATGTGGGGAATGTTAGTGTGCACATGAGTTTATGTGTAAGTGTAGGCATGTGTGAGAACTTGTGTTTTTGTGCATGCAAATACATGTATATAAGTCTGAGGGCTCTTTGACAATAAGAACCTGGATTCCAGCTGGTGACATGGGCAGCATTTCCTGAAATTGCTTCTGACTCCCAAGCACTCTAACAAAAATAATATAAAACAATTCAAATATGCAGAAACTTGGGTTTGCTTTATTTTGGTTAGTTTACATGAGGGCTGTTGGTATTGGAGAAGGGATTTATCCAAAGGTTTTCTGAGGTATAGCCTCTGTTCTGACTTGGTGTGACCTTTTGCTTCCCTTCCTCACAGGACTGTATCAGGCTATGTTTGTCAGCTGCAGTCCTAACCAATTTTGCTCAGAGTTTCAGGTTACAGAGTGATCTGCCTGACCTCATTTTGGATTTCATGCCATGGCATGAGCATCTAATGGAAACCACACTGGGCTGGAAGTCAGGAGTGTTCGTGTGTTCTTGGAGAGGTCAATGAAGCTGTCAGAGCCTCAATCTGCTTCTTGGTCAACCTGTGATCAACATCAAGAGACTTCCTGCCTCAGAAATTGATGAAGAAAGATGAGAAGAGGGTAAGAGGACATTGAAAAAAAGCACTAACCCTATTATTTGGTTCTTACCTTTTGATCCTAAGCAATGAAGTCAAGGGGTTCTGAAAGTCAGCCACTGGGGGCTCTGATCTCCAGTCTGAATTTCCTCAGATTTCCATAGCTTTCTGTAGCCATCTACAAAGAGAAAGAAAAATAAATTTCTCTTTTATTGATTTCCCCCATTCACACAGTTTAAAATAAATGTCTATGTTCCACTGTCCCTAAGTAAACTCTGATTTTACAAATCCCTGAACTTCTCTCTTTGCTCATGGGCTCTTACCTCAGCTTTCGGTCCTTCTGCAAGGACCAGCTTGTCCCACTCAAGCTTCTACTTGGTCCACTTTCACTCCCTTGCCTGGGAAGCATGCTGCAGTACCTCCCACAGGGGCTGAGGACAACAGCACAGGTCCCAGCCCCTGCTGGCATTCCTCCTGCCTCCACCTAAAGTTATAGTAGTTTTTCCTTGGAAGGGAAAGTGAGGCCTGGATCCCAGTCAGATCTGGGCAGACAGGAATTCCATGGTGGATGCCAATTTAGTTTTCCTTTCTCCAAAGGGTGTACACTGTGGGCACAAATAATCTAATTGCAAGCTTAGATCAAAGAAGTCAGAGATAAAAGTTCTCTCATGTTTGTTATTAGAGCCAATGGAATCCATTGTTTAGTTCTGATTCTTTCTTTGTATCTCAGCCATGTCTCTCCTGCCTTGGGAACCCTTGGCATGCATGGAGTGCTTCTCTATACCAACTAGATGGTTTGGCATTGGAAGATGAGACAACTGGACTTGCCTCATGGGGTATTAGTCCAACGGGAAGAGAAGACATCAAGCTAGTAACTATAGTATGACGTGTTACAAAAGGAGATGTGCAGGTGACTTTGAGTATAGAAGACAGGGATTCCACTTTCTCTAGGATCGGGGAAACCATCTTTTGGTTCTTCTAGGCACAGTTAGCCTCCACCCATATCCTGATGGGACACAAAGGCCATTGAAAAATGGAGATACTTCAGTACAATGGGAAGACTCCTGGGCTGACCTTCAGGGAAACCTGGGGTCTGACCCAATTTTTTTTTAAAGAGAGAGAGAGAGAGAGAGAGAGAGAGAGAGAGAGAGAGAGAGAGAGAATTCTGTGCCTAGAAACAGGCATTCGGCCCATACCAGAGAGGATTCTGGATACCATCCGAGTCCTGGAGGATTAGCTTCAGTGCTCTGTGGCCTTGGAGAAAGGCCAGCCCAGAAAGTTTCCCAAGCTCAGATTAGCCACAGTCTGAGATGTGTACACAGTAACTGTATTATGGTCTTTCTCTTTCCTGGATTTTAATGAGTTCTGGTAATTTGCCCATCAGGTGATGTCCTCTTGGTGCCAGGTGAATAACAATGCTCCTTGCCACCAAGGTTGGTTCTGGCAAGACCTGTAGTAGTAGGAGGCCACCTGTGAATAATCATGTAGGGGCTACAGAAAATTCCACAACTAAAATTATTCTACAATTGCAAATATCCATTACTTGCTGGTCATTGTTGCTCACAATTCCATCCTTAGTTATTCATTCTTTGGATTAAGCACCATTTTATCTTCTACCCCTTTCTAAATGAAATCTGAGAAGGTAATCTATCTAGTTACCAACATCCATCATCTCTTCCCCAGACAAGGAGTTGTCTTGACTAAAGAAGACCCCTGAGGTGGGGATGAGGAACAGTGAAAAGCAGATGAAAGGCAGGAGGCACCATAGACAAAACCTGCTCCCTTCACCATCTTGCCCAAAGCCAACTGTGAACTTGACCTCCAGATGCTTCCTATTTTTATGGCTCCTAATCAAAGTTGGTGGTGATGTAAGGAACTGGAGTAAAACCAGGCTTTCAGATCCAGGGTGGAGTTTACAGTAAAGATATGAGTAATACCTGAAGCTTGCTTGTGCCTCTCCATCCCACAGAAGATGAATCCCTTAAAAATGTCATGTTTCTTCTCAGGAAGGGCAGGGATGAGCTTAAGGTCAGGGACAAAAGGTGTAGAATTTTTCAACAAAAATTGAATAATGTACTTTGATGGAATAATACCTATCATAGTCCTTTGAAATGGTGCCTTCCTGCTTTCAAAGCACTGTCACACATATGTCTTAACTTTACCTTAACACTATCCTAATTGGGAGGGAAGACAAATGTTCTTCTTATGGCAAAAAGGTCGCTGAGGGCTTTGTTTAAAATGCACATTTCTGAGCTTAAAATTAGAGCTTCTCTAGTAGTGGATTTGGAGTGTGGCCTTGAATTTGAATTTTTAAAATTTTGTAGGAATGAGTGGGCAAATCTTTGAGAAATACCAATTCCTTTATGATAGAGTTGGTAAGTTACACAAATGGCTGGAATATAATGTTTGAGAGTGGACACTGAGCCCCATTCATATCAGTGTCCTCTGTACTGTCTACCGTAGTGCTTTGCAACATTATGTTTCTGACAAATGATAGCAAATGTTTAATCAGGAAAATATTCATAAAAGTGATATCTGAGCAGGTCTCTTTAAAAGGAGAAAATGTGTGAGGTGAAAGGTATTCCAAAAGGAAAAACAACTGAAAGCAAAGGCATAGTCATGAGGCTTTTTAGGACAGCAGAAAAGTTCTATTATTTTATTGGACCACACACTATGTATTGGAAAGTATTGGGAGATATGATTACAAAAATAAATTAATCTAGTGAACCCCAGATTGGACAGGATGGAATGAGGAGGAACAGAGATGGGAAGGGGAAAGACCGTAGAATAAATTGCACATAACTTTCCTGTGCTTATATACGAATACATAACCAGTGCAACTGCACATCATGTAGAACTACAAAATGAGAAGTTATACTCCATATATGTATGATATGTTAACGTACCTTCCACTGTAATGTATAACTAAAAATAACAAATAAAAAAAACTTAGATAAAAAAATTAGATCAAATTATGGAGGATCTTGAACGTAGGGATTTGTACAGTTCAGAAGCCATGGGGAAATGCTGAATACATGTATCTATGTGCACTGGGAGTACAAGATGGACAAAAGCAATGTCAGATATGATTTATTTCCACACTACTTAACCACGTTCTTAACACCAGGAACAATTCGGGAGGTTTTTGTGCAAACTCAAAACAACTCCTAAAGCCCTGATATTTCCTAGGTTGTAATCTGCAGCCACCCCCTAGGGAAATCTCTAAACACTTTTCACATGAGATGCACTGGGCCCTAAATCTTTTATCTCCATCCCATCCTCTTGGATGATTCATGATTCCAGGTGCTGACTGAGCCCCCCCCCTGAGATATACCAACCCTAACAAGCTCCAATGTAGACCACTTTTCCCCCGCAACCTTCTTTTTGCATTTCTAATTCTGACTTACAGAACTTGTGTACTCACCTAAGTCTAAGTCCAGAAGTCATTTTTGACTCACCTGTCACCCCCATGTATCTGAACAAAGCCTCGGGCTTTCCATTTCTCAGAGTTTTCTCCCTTTCCCATCTTTAGGAGGTTTGCCACAGAAGTAATATTTTTTGTTTTTCTTTTTCACATTTCCATGTACATGATTTCTCCCAATTCAGCCAACAATGAGCATCTATGTCCAGAATGGTAGTGAGAAGGGAATTTTTATTCAACAGGAAAATGGAGCAAAGAAGTTCAAATTTTATGATTTGATTACCAAAATAGGATTTCTCAGTTCTTAATAATATTAGTCTTCAAAGTAGGACTTTATTGACAGCATTTTTTAAAAATTCTTTGAAATATTAGTAACATATCAAGAACCAGGCCTATTGGGGCTAAACATTGATATTCTTCAGTTTTATTATGGTAGAAATGATAAAAACTATATATATTTAAGGCATAGTACTTGATGTTTTGATATATGTATATTATGAAATCATCACAGTAATAAAGCTAATTAACATATACATTATATAATAGTTACCATTTTTTTCTTTTTCTTTTTTTACTTTGTGGTGTATGTATGTGTGCATTTAGGAGACATCCCAATAGGTCTGGGGATGTAGCCCAATGATAGAGCACTTACCTAGCTTGTGCAACACTCTGGATTCAATCCCCAGTATCACCCCCCAAAAACAAAACAAAACAAAACAAAACAAAAAACCAAAAAAACTACCCCCTTAGCAAATTTCATTTCAAGCTCTTGGATGGATCAGTATTATCAACTATAGTCGCCATGCTACATATTGAGTCTCAGAATTTCTTCATTTTCTATAACTGAAATTTTGTACCCCTCCATCAACATTTCTACATTTCCATCTTCCTCCAGCTTCTACTCTCTGATTTTGAGTTTGGTTATTTTAGATTCCACATATGAGTGAGGTAATGCAGTAGTTTTCTTTGTCTGGCTTTTTTTCCACTTAGCATAATGTTCCAGCTTCATTCATATTGCTGCAAATGGCAGGGGTTCCTCCTTTTCAAAGCTGAGTAAAATCCTTATTTCTGGGTATATATTCAAAGGAAAAGAGATGAGAATCTTGGTGATACCTCTACTCCCATGTTCATGGAAGCACTGTTCATGATAGTCAAGATACAGAAGCCACCTACATTTCTATCAATGGATGCCTGGATAAAGAAAATGTGGTATATCTAAAAATATTGAATTTACTCTTAAGTCCAGTCTAGAGAGGTCTCAGAATCCATATCCTACAGGAATACTTAAACCCCATGAGGGGAGAGAAAGCCCATCCCTGTGGTCCAGAAAGGAATAAGATGGGGAAGTGAGCCTAAGACTCATGTGTCCTTCTCGTTCCTCACCTGGCTCCCCAGAGGACAGTGCATTGAGGAACTGAAGGAGAGGTATCAAGCATACAAGGCTGAGCCCATGCCTCACTCAGAGTCCAAGGAGGAGGTGGCTATACCTGATAGCCTTGTGCCAGCATGGGAAGCCATAGCAGTATGGCTCCTGAGCTTCTGTTATTCCTGTGGGACATGGAATAGTTCAAAAATCCCTGCATGCCATGGGGGACGTGGGGTGCTATGATTTGAATAAGGTTTTTCTCCACCAAAACTCATGTTGGAGCTTGTTCCCAGTGTCAGTGTTGAGAGGTTGTGGGGACTTTAATAGGCACTCGGGGTCATGAGGGATCCACCCTCATGAATGGACGAACTTTTCTTTGTGGAAATGGGTTAGCTGTCCCAGGTGTTAGCCCTCTTATTCTAACTCACATAGACACCTTGCAGTGGTGCCATGTGCCATGTCACAACACAGCACAAGGCCCTTTCCAGGTAAAACCACCAGATCTTGAACTTCCCTGCCTCCAGAACTGTGAATAAACCTCTGTGTTAGTCAGCTTTTTGTTACTGTGTCCAAAATACCTGGCACAAACAGCTTGGAGGTGGGCTCACGGTACCAGAGGTTTCAACCCATGATCTCCTGCCTCCATTGTTCTGAGACTGAGGTGAGGCAGAACAGTATTTCAGAGGAAAGTTGCTCAGCTCATGGAATCTGGGAAGCAGAGAGAGAGAAGAAGGGGCCAAGGATAAGATATAGTCACTAAGAGTATGGCCCATGTGACCTACATCCAACCATGCCCCCGCCCCCCACCCCCCACTGCAGTTTCCATCACCTCCCAATAATCTATTCAGCAATCAATGAACTAATCCACTGAGGTGGTCAGAACTCTTATGACAATCACTGTGACAATCACTTCCCTTGCCCCACCTCTGGACATTGCTGCACTGGGGACTAAGGCTTCAATACGTGAGCTTTTAGGGGACATACATTCCAGAACAAAGCCATAATAATTTCTTTTCTTTATAAATTAGCCAGTCTTGGGTATTCTATTATAGCAACATGAAACAATCTAAGACACAGGATCAGAACAGTGGAAAGATGAACAATGTTGAGTGAGTGTCAGAAGGGTCAACAACGAGACAACAGAGTCAAAGTGAGCTGGTCAGATGGGGGTCTCTCTGGACCCATATAGGTCAAGTGAGCAGAACAGATGGCAGCAGTGAAAGGCAGCTCAGTGCCCATGGACCAGGTAGTTAAGGAACACTACTAAGTAGCCAGACAGCACAGAGCCCACCATCAGACCTTCGAGCACCAATCCAGAGGCATCGATCCACTCTGACACCTTCTTGGGAGAGGCAAAGTGATGAAAGGAAATTCGAAAAGCTTCGCTTGTATCTGAAAGGGCAAATTGAAGAAGACAGTCATTAGAACCCATACATATTGTATGAGCCAATATACATAAAATGACCAGAATAGGCAAATTTATAGAAATAGTGTTGGAAGAAGGAGGAAAAGCAGTGTACTTAACTGCTAATATGTAGAGGGATTCTTGTTCAGGTGATGAAACTGTTGTAAACTTGAGAGTGGTGACCTTGACTCTGTGAATATATTTAATAAATATTGAGTACCTTAGGGGAATTGTATGGCATGTGGATCATATCCCAATAAAGCAGTTAATAAAAATGAAACCAAACCCTTAATTGGCAGTTTAAGTGATTCCCCTAATCTCCACTGCTCAGATAGGAGAGAATTTGTGAGGAAGACAAGAACAAGAATATACTGCAGCAACTGGGCCTTTCTCACATGCCGAGGTACTGGATTTCATTTCTGCTGCAGCTGCCATTGCTTAGCCCTGACTTTTTCTTCAGTTTACTGTGGGTCATGGAGTAGTTCAAAAATCCCTGCATGCCATGGGGGATGTGGGGTGCTATGATTTGAATAAGGCTTTTCTTCAGTTTACTGAAGAAAAAGTTAGATTAGATAGTGAAGATGACTGTGTTTACAATAAGAGCATGAAGAAAGATATTATTATTTGCATTACTTGTGTCTTCCTTGTGAGGACTCGCAGCAGAAATTTGTTTGGCTTTTGATTTAGTGACACTTATTTTCCTAAAACATTGGTTTACTTTTATCTCCTAGGCATTATGGTGTATTTACTGTTGGTATTTACTGCAACACCAAGAAATCTGTTATTCCCTCCCTTGTCAGTCCTTGTCAACACACACACACACACACACACACACACACACACACACACACACCCCACACTCTAATGTGCTCATCTCACTCCTGGCTCCATTTTGTCCCTATTATCCTTATTTTCACTTTTTCTTCTACTTCTAATTTTCTATAGAAAACCTTACTGTATTCTATGTATAGTCACACACAACTTCTTTCTCTCTTTTCTTTCTTTAAACTAACTCACCAGAACATCTCAAGTCCATCCTTAACTTTGTTGTGCTTGGGGAAGCTTGGCTAGTTGTTAGTAGGCTCCTGAGTATTCTCCTACTCTCTATAATTCATTCTCCACATTTCTGCTTTTAAAAATTACCACTATTTGTAAATCTTAATGTCACCTCTTACTTTTAAAATGGGGTTCATGTTTCTTTGGTGAACACATGTGCCTCTTTAGTACCTGACCGTTGTCTGTCTCATCAACTCCACCAAGCCCTCTCTCTTGGCTTTTATACACAGTTTTTCTCTATCTCGCTCCTTCTGCAGAAATCTTTCTTGTCCAGCCGCCCGCTATGAGGACCCCTCTTGGACTCTGTGCTCCCAAACCCCAAGGAGTTACCTCTGCTATCGTCAGTGGCTCCCTGGGGCAGGAATGTTGCTATATTCTTGAGTCACAAGTCCTTAGTAGTGTTTTTGGTTTATATTAATGGTTCTATAATTAATTTAAATATGTTAGAATCGATAGCTTAATAAATAATATTCCTGTTTCTTTCTTGTTTACTGAACTTAGAACAATGGATACCAAAACTTAAATCAAACAAAGGAAGAGATGAATATACCAGTTTTGCTTATACAGTTAGAGAGTGTAGTATAAATAAATGGCCAAACCAAACTTTTCAGCCCTTTCCTCTAAGATCCCATGTTGGGACATGTCAGGTGGGGGCAATTTGTGTTTACAGAGTAGATATATTAGCCTGAAATCAGTTTCTTACACTCCGTAAGAAAGAGATATGCCTTCAGACTTTGACTGCAAAGAGGGCCTGAGCCTAGACCACGTGCTCAGCCAACAGAAGTTGGAGCTGGGCAGAACAGAGCTCCTCTGTAGACAGATTCCCTAAGAGACACAGTCTCATGTAGTATAGCTCATTATTCCCAATTCAGTCATCAGATAAGTCATTCCTTCACAAAGTGAAGGGTAAAGAGCAGTGGAAGTCATTTTGTCAATATTTTCAGAGGGTAAAGCTCCTGCTTTATGGTGGAACTGGGGCAGGGAGTGAGTGTGTTAGGTTCTAATGAGCACAGAAAGCATTTCTTGCTGATCTGAGCAAAATCAGATATCAGCATTACTGTTAATTCCATTGGGTGGAAAATGGAATGATGATTATGTTAAGAAATAGTCCTTATCAGTTAGAAATGCACACTGAGATGTTTAGGGGTGAAACAGTATATCTTGGGCTTACTTTTAAATACTTCAACCAAAGCAAATTAAAACAAAATAAGTTGTGATGGGAAGGGCTGAAAACAGGTGACATAATGTGCCAAATGTTGATAACTGGGTGATGATAGTTACCAAGGGGCTCATCAAGGTACTTACTCCCTTCAATGTTTTTTATGTTTGAAATTTCCCATAATAAAGCTCTCTAGAAAGGGATATCAAGTAGCTCAGGGAATCTCTGAGTTGTCTACAAAGCCAGATGAGATGAGAAGAAAGTCAGGAATAGTACCTAAACTGTCCACAGATGGAAGGCATGAGTGCTACCCAGGGACTACAGCAGCCACACCAGACAGAGAGAACAGAGAGAACCAGCTGTACATCTGCTACCACTGTCATGTCCAGACACCAGACAGTGTGGGCTCTCCATCAGCCTGCAGCCAGGATGGATTTAGGGCAGTCTCTTTGGGAAAATCTGGATCAGCATGCCCTAGGTCCATGCCCTGGTCTGGGGACAAATGCCCAAAGGTGGAAAGTGGGCTCTGCCACATTCTGTGAGGGAATCCTTTGATTTAGGAAGGGGATTCCTTTGATTTAGGAAGGGGATTCTGATCATGTTTTAAAAGAAGGTTAAATACCCACCTAAAGAGGAAATGGCTCTTTCAGCTTTTGAAGTATATTAAAATTTTTATTAAGTTTTCACTGTTTATAGTTATTTATACTTGTGCAATTCTTTGTAGTTTGCAAATGTATTCATATACACCTAATCTTACTAGTTCTTTATTTATAGTTTGTGAGGTGTTCTCATCTTAATCCCTTACAACATTTTCTGGGTCATAGTCATCTCCATATCACAGATGAGAAAATGACAGAAAAGAGAGGTAAAGTGACTTGTCCAAGTTCACAGAGCTTTTAAGCCATGGCTCAAAATTCAAATCCAGCGATTCCTGCTCTGAGATCAGTCTGTGTCACTTCCAGTGTGATGACACCAAACTCTTCAGAATGACTTTCAGCCAGTTTCAGCATTTATGTTTCCTTATCTCAATTCACTCATGAACCAAAACTTCTCAGATTTTTGTCCTTCTTTGTTAACTTTTCTAAATAGCTTGTCTAAATCTTTTGAGAATTATCCTAACAGATGCAAGGGCACCAAAAATCTATTAAATCATTAGTTTATAGTTTTTAACATGTATCTAAGGATCACCCAGTTCAAGTTAACTGTAGAAGAAGTGGTAGCTCTGAGACGGGCCATGAGTCAATTTTGACAGATTCTGAAGTATGAAATAGGTTTAAAGACAATTAAAGCGGTGATGCAGATTACTGTTGAGCCCTAAATGTTTAAATGTTTAATAAAATGTATAATATAAAAGAAAAATCCCAGTGAGGTGATTGTCTGGGACTCACTGTAGCCTCCCCAAGAAGTGTTTATACAAGGGCACCTGGAAAAGGGATGCAGATCTGCAAAGTGTCAGGGAGGAGCAGCTGCCCTGGATGCAAATAACTGGCCTCAGCACATTCCAAGGGTGAAAGTATGGGGGGGGGGAGTGTGACGCTATTTCAAAAGAAGGCACAGGCCCAGCAAGCTCTCCCCTGCTGCTTAATACAGGAAATATCTCCCAAACTTCTCTGCTAATCCTCCACCAATACAATGAGAAATGAGTGCCTCTGGCAGCCAAGCAGTTATTAAGCCAGGACAAAAAATATTCCCGCCCATAGCAACAGAGCCAAAGATAACAGCAGGGAATAGCCAAGCTGCAGAGAAATGGCAGATAGAAAACATTCAATCCTGAGAGCCTTCCCCACACCCCTAAGAAATTGATGTGTGAGAAAAAGAAAGGGCCTCATTTTTACCCAAGAAGCTCAGCACTGTGTTGTAAACCAGGTCTTCCTGTACAGCTCTGGTCAGGCTGAACTTGGCTTCATGATCTGTAGTCCTTACAGGCAGGACTAAACTGGGCAGCGTTTTGAGGCTTTCTGATCCGTTTCTGGCCTGTTGATGAAATACACACAGGAAACAGAAGAAAACTGCTGCTGCTCCCCATTTGCAACACAGAGATTCATGAACACGGTGCTTGGGTAGACTTCTCCCACAGAGGGATATTTGGTTTTCCATGAATATTCCTCCAGAATTCTATCAAAGGGCTCACTCTCCCAGTGTTTCTCCAAGTGAGGATAAAAAAGAATAGATAGTAAAATGACCAGGCAGTCAGGATAATGGGCCCCATTCAACCTCACCTGGAGGCCAACTAGTAGACTTATTAATGAGCACCATATCAAGGCCTATTTCAAATGTAAAAGATCTTGAGGCTCACCTGTGCAAACACCTCCAGCCAACTCTTTTGTCCCAGAGGTGGAAAACTGAAGGTGGGGATGAACCCAGATAGAAGTTACTGAAAGGAGGATGGGTTACAGACAGCAGGATGGTAGCCAGGATACCTTGTTTCAATACCTATTTTACATACATTTTGCTCCATGCTCTGACCCAGAACCATCTATAAACTCATAAGCTGGTACACTAAAATGAGGTTTTCTGCTCTCAGGTCCCCTTCCGCATGGCAGGAAGTATCTATCTCTTCTCAGTTTAAATAAATCCTGCTCCGTTTATTCTTCACTTCCATGATTTTCCAAGGATTTTACTCTAAGACAAGAATGCAGAGGAAATTGGCAAAGCAGGGAATTTAGTCTCATTTCAAAACTCTGGTTTCACAAGTTCTTTGTTCATGCTAGGAGGGAAGCCTTTCTAGGAAGATGCACTTTCACCAATACCTTGTAGCCATTGATCCATCCCAG